TTTTTTTTTTTTTTTTTTTTTTAACCAAGTGCTGTTTTCAAGGAAGGTTCATGGGTGTTTTAATCCCAGAATTCTTCCCTGTTTGAGAATGTCTGCCCATTTCCTTCATCCTTGAAGGGTATTTCGCTTGAGTGTCAAATTCTAAGGTCATGTTTTCTCTCCCTCAGAAGCTTTGTGTGCGTTGCTCCATTGTTCTTCCACACTGATGATCCCGGCAGGGAAGCCTGAGGCCAGCCTGATATTTTTTCTCCTTGGAAGCAATTTGTTTCTTCTGCTCAGACGCCTGGACAGACGTTCTCCTTGATAAGAAGTCAGCATCTTAACAAGGACATGCCTTGGGGTTGAGAGTCTATATCAAAACTTCCTGGAATACACTGTGCTCTTTCCATCCACAGATGACATTTCTACTGTATTTCAGGAAACTCTCTTTCATGATATGGAATTCATCTTCTATTCGCTTTGTTGAGTTTTGCCATCTGGCGAACACTTGTTCTCTCATCCTGGAGCATCTTTATCCTCCATCATGTACTAGCTTTTCTCAAATTGCTTTTATTTGCATCCACTGGCACTGTCTCTTCTATGACAATCCTTCTATTTAGCAGCATCTATTCTTTCTGTTCCTCACTATTCCTAATTTATTCACGAGCTCTGATGTTGTTTTGCTTCTCAATTTGTTTATTTAGGCCTGGGTTCTCTCTTCGTCTTATTCTGTCAGCGTTTACCATTTCATCTTTGAATCTTGTCTTAATACGTGCATGTTCTTCTTATGTAATTCCATAACTTGAGGCCAAAGACGGATTTCCTTCTGCTTCTTGAGTTATGTTTTCTTCTAGGTTGGGTTCCCTACATCAACATACATGGACGGAAGAGACAAAGGGAAGATTGGGCAGAGGCAGAAGGAGAGCTGCAGGGCAGTCACAACAATGCCTCAACCAACCCTATAGGGAGCTCTGGAACCAGGACCACCCTTGGGAGTTGTCCCATGATGGGGCCAAGGGACGGAGCCTTCATACCCTATGTTGATCAGTCTGGGAAGGGAGCATGATCTTGAATGAGGGCTCCCTTAGCTGAGGTAGTCTCCAACAGGGGCTGACAGTGGGTAGCTGGGAATATAAATCCATTGCTGATGGGAGGACTTGGCAGTTCATGACCATGTCCACCACTGGACTCTTGGGCTCTTTCTCTAGTTCAGGCTACTTATTCATTCGTTTCTGAAGTGGGTCTGGATAGTTTCTGTATCACTTCTTTTTATCTGACTCCTGCTTAGTCCGTTTTAGATAGACTTTCTGTTTATTCTGATATGGTGGCGTGGAGGTTTCATTTATTCCTTGGCTCTCTTCCTGCAAATATAAGCTTAGTCCCCTCCCACCCGAATTTAGAGTAAGGTCTGGGTTTTTTGTGTTCCATCCACTTTTCTGAAGTCCAGAGTTGGTTGGAATACACTCGCTTTGCATTCTCTTTGGAAGGACTGATAAATATCCTATGGGGATTCATTCCACCTAGTTGGGGCTGGCAGCAAGGTACGTCTGCCTCCAGTGACACCCCCTGGAGCATAAGACTGTGTAGCCCCAGAACCTTCACTTAGAAAGAGTCAGGCTGTAGTCTCTTTTCCTCTTTTTTTCCCCAGAAGTCATTTTCACTACTCCTCTATCAGAAGAGGAAAAAGATAGGGTTGCCAACAATTTTCTTCTCTCAGGACTTGGGAGTATTAGGGAGAGTTATCAGAAATTTGATGACTTGCCAGGACTGGGAGTTGGAGGGCAGGTCAGGAGCTGAACCTTGCTGACCTTCCTGTTCAGCTCCAGATGATTGGATCGAGAGCTTTACTTTTTCCTTTAAACTGTGCCCCTTTCCTCATTTCAGTGGCGTTGATCAATACTTGGGGGCTGGGATTTCTGAATTCATTTTTTGCTGATGGCTCGGTATTGGAGAGGGTCATTTTGAGGGAAATTTCAATCTGCCACCTTAATCCAGATCTCAGCTGAATCTGTGCTTCTCCATCCATATCAAGAATGAAACAATAGGGCTTTCCCGGTGGTGCAGTGGTTGAGAGTCCGCCTGCCGATGCAGGGGACGCGGGTTCGCGCCCCGGTCCGGGAAGATCCCACATGCCGCGGAGCGGCTGGGCCCGTGAGCCATGGCCGCTGAGCCTGCGCATCCGGAGCCTGTGCTCCGCAACGGGAGAGGCCACAACAGTGAGAGAGGCCCGCGTACCGCAAAAAAAAAAAAAAAAAAAAAAAAAAAAGAAAGAATGAAACAATAACTGATGACTTCCCTTGCAAAAGAGAGAAAGGCAGCTTACTTTTTATTTCTTCCTTCCAGGCTTCCCACATCCTCATTTTTGTGGATATGATCTGAGATTGGTGTTTATATTTTCCACCTTTTGTTTGGAGAATTACTTTTAACATTTACATTAAGCTGAATACCATTTTAACAACAATTTAACCTCAGCTCTCTATTTTACTGGCTTTCTAGTTTACCATCATTTCTTTTCTACCACATCGTGCATTTTCTTGTATTTAAGTTCCCTTCTCAAGTGGTGGGAATATTTCTGTAAGTAATTTTTTTCTGGAAAGGTACATGGTGGAAAACTACAGGATCTTTGCATGTCTGAGAATAGCTTTCTGTGTTTATATCACATGATCAACAGCCTGGTTGAGTGGAGAATGCCTGGGTTACAACCTTTACCCTCTTACAACCTTTAGATATTGCTCTGCCGCTTCTGTCATTAAATGCTCTCGTTTACTCTGAGGGCCACTGCTAGGCTCTTTATCCTTTGTCTCTAGGAAATGTCGAGATAGGACTCTTCATTAATTTTCTCTCTTTCCCATCAGTACTTAGAACATTTCTCTGTATATAACAGGTGTTCAGATAAACTTTATGGATTGATTGAAACAGTAATTTCAGTGGATAAGTTTAGTAAAACCAGATCAAAATAATTATGTTGTTTGAAGTAGGTATATACTTTCACTTGGAAAACTTTTCTTCTATTATTTCTATATTGTTTGCCTCTCCTTCTAGAATTCCTATTCTGTGAGTTTATTTCTCATGATCTTTAAACTGCAGTTTATTATCCCTACTGTGTGGTTAAATTCAACAAAATCCTTTTCACCTCCAGTAACTTTCTACTTCTCCCATATTATTCATCTGCATAACTGTGGGCTCCTGTTAACGTTGATGCAATGCCATCTCGAATTTCATTGATGGTTGAAGTTTTCTTCTGTTTCTTACCTACACCCTGTGTTTAGTGGAGATATTTCTCCAGCTCAGTGTGATTCTTCTGAGCAGTTGCATTATTGAATTCGTTCCATGATTTTTCTCTTTTCCTTCATCCTCACCAAGGAAGACCTATGTGCAACCAGCTTGAGATGGGTTCTGGTAGACAGTGGGAGTCCCTATCACAGCTTCAGTTGCACCTTAAAAGGAGAAGGGAAAAGTTGAAGGTTACTACAGTTTTACCTTTTCAGATTCCAGGTCTCACCTGTGGGCAGGAAGACTGCCTGATGGCCGGCAGTGTCCCTGCTCATCCTTCTGTAATTGTCCCGGGACTGTGCCTCAGTGGACTCTACTCCCAGAGACCCTTTTGACAGCTTTGGCAGCCTGCCCTGCTCTGCAGTCCCCACCCTCACCCCCATATCTAGGAGTATTAGGGTCAATCTCGGGCTCCCTTCTTACTCTCCACATGACTTTTCCGCTGTAAGCAGTTAACGATGGTCTGGTCAGCCCTTCCTGCAAGTCACTCCCACTCCCACTCCCTTGTGTAGAAATGCCTTTTAGTTTCTAGTATGGGAATGCTGCTCTTCCCTGGTTCCCAACTCTGGGTTAGGTTTCTTTTCCATTATTGTATTCCTCTGGGCATTTCGGCTGGAAGCTGGATATGTAGGTATTGTTCTGATTTGTCATTTCAGACCAGAAATCTATCTTGTGATGTCTATTCTGGAATTCAGGTTGAAGCTTTTGGGAAAACAGGCCATTAACCAATCTAGTAGTGTTTCTGTCTACACCCTGATCCCCAAAGCAAATGGTTCGTTTATATATTCCAGGGGTATAGGGGAGCAGCAGTGGCTAGGTCCCTGCAACTTCTCCTCTTTCTTCCCCCAGAGAGCCCGGCGGGCTGTTCTGCCCCAGGAAGAGGAAGGATCAGGAGCTGGACAACTAGTAACTGATTTCGGCAAGAAAGAAGGTAATGATCACCCCCTTTTTTTAATCCCCTTCTGCCACACTCCAGAGAGGAAGCGTCCACAGTTGGCTCACCCCAGCTGCCCTCATCACCGTGAAGTCTTTCTTATTTTTTCTGCTAGAATCAAGGACTGAGCCTAGAAAGGGCAAATCCAGTACTCTGCCCCGTGCCAGCGGTTATGGGGGGAGAGAGAGGAGTGTAAGGCATGGTCCCTGAGCTTAGCAAGTCTCAGCTCCACGATGAGAAGCGAGTTCTTGGCTTGTCTGTATCACTATGTGGCCTCCTAGCCGTGGCTTTCTCATCTGTACAATGGGATAACAGCCTGCTGAGCTGACCTTAAGGGCTCCTGTGGGAGCACATGGGCAAGAACGTGAGAATGCTTTTTGTGATTGATAAAATGATCACTCTCCAAATCTTTCAGCAAACACTGAACCCTGACTCTGCTCCACCCCAGACTGTGCTGGGCATTGGGGTCATGGAGACAAACCACCCACATCTTTTTGGACCATCTGGTCTAGTAGAGGAGGCAGTCAAGGAAGAAAGTGAGGGACCCAAAAGGGAGGGTCAGCTAAAAGGCTGGGGGAGCTCAGAAAATGGAGGACGAGGTGATCAAGGAGGACTTCCTGGATGAAGGGGAATTCATGCTGTGTCCAGATATGGTTTTAGGAAGGAAGGCATTCTAGCATTCCAGGGGCAGGAATGACGAGAGCAAAGGCACGGGGGTGGGACATAAGGCAGAGGTCAGGCTGGCTGGCATGGGTGCTGGTGAATGTATCATCAACTACTATCCTTACCGAGTCTTTGGGCAGACAAGACCAGCACAGGGGATGTTGGGTCTCTGGGTCGTTGGTAACTCCCCATGTTATGGAATGGAATGAGCATGGGTTTTTGGAATCCAGCAAATATGGCTTTGAATTTCAGCTCTATGTAACTCTGGGCAAGTCACTTTACCTCTCAGGGAGTCAGTTTCCTTACCTTTAAAATGAATTGAGAATCGTTCCTCTTAATGCAGAGATGAAAACTAAATGAGATGATACCTGTTAAAGTATCCAGCCCGGTGACAGGCACACAGTCAGCATTCAGTGAGCACTGCTGTTCTGCCCCTCCCCAGATTCCTGCCAGCTGGGCTACTCACAAGGTCCTTGCCTGGGGATGATTCAGAGGTATTTCTATAATGGCTCATCCATGGCCTGCGAGACCTTCCACTATGGTGGCTGCATGGGGAACGGCAACAACTTTGTCTCGGAGAAGGAGTGTCTGCAGACCTGCCGGACCGTGGGTGAGTGTGGCCCCACCTTTCCACCTCCCCCTGCACCCCCCACCCCTGTCCTCCAGACAGACCACCGGCCCATTGAACAGGTAGCTAAGAGAGGATGCTCCAGTGGTGGAATTCCAGGGCAAGTTTCCTGAAGTCATAGGAATTGCACACTTGGGTATGGGTGACCCTCGGCACGTATGTCTTCTTGTGGCCCCATTTCTCAATCCATAAAAAGGGGTCTAGGTGTTGTGGATGAGCAGGGTCGCTGGCTCAGGCCCTTTGATGGGTGTCTCAGGTCAGCGATCCTAAGGACTTCCAATGCTCTGCACCTCCCTCCCACTCCACAGAGGCCTGCAATCTCCCCATAGTCCCTGGCCCCTGCCGAGGCTCCACCCAGCTCTGGGCATTTGATGCTGTCAAGGGGAAGTGCGTCCTCTTCATCTACGGGGGCTGCAAGGGCAACAGCAACCAGTTCTACTCAGAGAAGGAGTGCAAGGAGTACTGTGGCATCCCTGGTGAAGGTAGGAGGCCCGACAATGCCAGGCTGGGCCTGGGTGATATCGGGGTCCAGGTGGGGGAGCCCTGGTAGGAGGTGAGGGTCTGGAAAGCTGAGTTCTGTACTTTGTACCAGGTGACCAGCCCATCCACTCTCTGGGCCTCAGTTTCCCACCTGTAAAATGGGGCCAAGCCTGAGGCCTTACCCCAGCTGGGATGGGGCACCTGGGCCCAGGCAGAGGGAAGGCAGGACAGGCTGAGTGGAGCAGAACTGGGCTCCAATCCCGGCATTGCCACATTTGGGCTGGCCACACTGAATGTCAATTTGAGCCTCGGTTTTCTCTTTTGTAAAATGGGACCAAGTACCTACTTCACAGAGCCTCGCACGGTCCATATCCATCTAGCGGCAGCCGTTACTAATAATGGTGGTGATGCTATAATGATAACAGGAATAGCATTCCAGGGAACAGCAGCCATTAAAGATTTCTGTGCCTTATCTCCCCACTGGGAAAATGGTACCTAAGGTAAATCAGGAGGCAAAAAATCAGATCATTCCGTGGAACGCACTCTGGAGATAATCGAGTCACTCCGCAAGCAGAAGTTTCTGGCCTCAGGCTCAGGCTTAAGCTCAGCCCAAGCTGCCGTCCCTCCTCTATGAGGCATCCCCATCCCCTGACCGTCCCCACCCGCAGACCCCTGGACGACCCCACACCTACACCCCGAGCCTCTCTGTGTCCACAGGGGAGGAGGAGTTGCTGCGCTTCTCCAGCTGAGCGGCCCACAGGCCAGAGGTCCACAGGCCACAGGGAGCGCGAGGGCCAGTGTCTGCCCCAGGGTCCCGCGGCAGGTTCCAATAAAAAGCAAATTGTAAACTCCTGAAATTCCATGTCCTGACGATTCATCACGAAGTATAATGAGATGGGGGGAGGGGAGGGGGAGACAAGCTGGGGAGCGGGCATGAGTAACCCCAGCTTTCCCCACATGTGAAAAATGTATGTGTTGGAAGTGTAATAGAGCCATCTTCAGGACATGAAATTGGCTATGCAAATTATGAAACATAAATCACAGTTCTGTATAAAATGGGATTGTTTTGTCTTAATAAAGCTGGAAGAGAAAAGAGGGGAAAACTCTGGGTACTTGTTTCTGGGAGAGGTTTGACAGGGCTCATCAGAGACCCAGGGTCAGAAGAAGTCACCGTGCCCTAGTGTGTGCCCAGCTGGGTCTGGGTAAATGCCCCACAAGCGCCTGAAAAAATTCCCCTGTCCTTGGCTGCACAGAACCCCATGCCAGCGTTTACTTTGCTCACAGCTGCATCCCCAGCAGTAGCTGCCAGGGGTTGGAAGGCCTCGGGCTGTTTCTCCACAAGGGTCCTGGAGATCCCATCTCCTGGGATCCTTGCTCTGGCCCTTTGCCCCGGAAGGAGAATGGTCACCGCCCTTTGCGCTGTGCCCAGAACAACCAGCTGGCCCTGGACCGGAGCTGGAAGCCCTGGGTCTGGCCCGGCTTCTGCTCCCTGGAGGAAGAGAGCAGGTAGGCTGTCCAGGGTGGCTCAGGCACCAACTTGGCCCAAGCGCACAACTCCAGGAGCCTCCAGCTCACGCACACCGGATTTACAAACATCGGACTTACAAACACCTCTTTCGGGCTCCATCCACCCAGAGTCCTGACAGCTGCCGCTGCAAGAGTCCAAACCCCAGCTTCCTGGGTTCTGAGGTGGAATGCTGTGTTGAGGGGACGAACCCAGAGGCAAGGATTTGGTGGAGAGAGCTTTGCAGCCCCCTTGGTCAGACCACAGAGAGACTCCCTGCCTTATGCACCCCGGAAGTCCCAACCTTGGGGCTTCCAGGTTTCAATAGAGAGGACAGTCCTGAGGGACAGCGTTTGTGGGCCTGGTTGGGAGTCACGAACGTCATCACGTCCTGTGTCCATACCTTGCCCCCTCCATGCATGATTCACACACTGGGGCTGCCACCTATGGCAGTTGGAAGGTGCCACTCTGAAGAAAGTGACCTGAAGGACAAATGCCTAAACTGGACAGTGCAAGCCACAGGTGGGCTGGCCAGCCTCAGCTCAGCTAGTGGATGGGAGTTTGGCTCCTAAGGTATTTTACAGTTCTGAGTTCACCATTAAAAAATGCACCTCCCGGATTTCCCTGGTGGTGCAGTGGTTGAGAATCCGCCTGCCAATGCAGGGGACGCGGGTTCGATCCCCGGAAGATCCCACATGCCGCGGAGCAACTAAGCCCGTGCGCCACAACTACTAAAGCCCGCGCGCCCTAGGGCCCGCGCGCCGCAACTACTGAAGCCCGGGCGCCTACAGCCTGTGCTCTGCAACAAGAGAAGCCACCGCAATGAGAAGCCTGCGCACCACAACAAAGAGTAGCCTCTGCTCGCCGCAACTAGAGAAAGCCCGGGCACAGCAACAAAGACCCAAGGCAGCCAAAAAAAAAAAAAAAGGACCTCCCATATAAAACTCTAGGTTTCTCAATTCTCTTGAAAAATAAGTTCTGGCAGCCTTGGGCCTGCATCCTGCACCTGAGACACCCCTCTAGATGGGGCCTCCCCTGTGGGTCACCAGCCCTGCCTGCCACCCTCCCTGGTCCTGAAGGCTTTTATCTCCATGACAGTTACTAAAACTTTCACTGCAAAAAATTCCCTTGGATCCTGTCTTACCCCTCAGGGGTGGGATGGGGTTGAAGCACATCTGTGACCTCCAGTCAGGAGTCCACTCATCCCAGAAGGGACCAGAATCATTCTCAGCCAAGCGGCTACCCTGATGTCTCATCTGATTCTTAAACAGTCTCACCTCAGATTCTCTCTTAAAGATACTGGTCATGCTCATCTCTGTCACAAAATACATGTGGCTGCTTAATAAAGAAACACGCATTAAAAAGAATTTTTATTTTAAAATCCAGAGGCTGGCCCTTCAGTCGTATGGAGGCTCTGGCCATGCCCTGATCTCACTGGATCCCGACGTTCCCAGCTAGCGGGGGAGTCTTCCCGCTCCAGCAGGACTCTAGACATTTGTTTTAGAGCCAACAGAAACTCCTTGATTAAACTTCAGCCGCTGGCTCAGGAATGTCCACACGGTACACTGAACAGCAGGAAACTCCCGCTGAAGGGGGGTTCTGAGGGCAGGGCTGATGCCCCGGGGAGGCTGGCCCAGACTCAGCCAATTCGTGCTGTCATCCTTGCGACTTGATGGAATTTGTATGGCTGATCAAGCAGCACATCCTCTTTGAGGAGAGCACCCGTTTCTGGTTGAGGACAGGGATAAAGCCGGACGTGGTTTTACCTTTGAACGGCTGTTCTGGCAGCAGCAGTCCTGCTTTAGGAGAAGCTGTCACCCTCCCTGCCCACTCTGGCCACAGCTGTCTTCTGGTGGCGTCTTCTCTCCACGACTTGCCTTCAGTTCGACTCTCCAAGCCAAGCGTTGATGTGCGTGTCTGGAGTGTGAGACTCGGGTCGAGGCCAGCAGAGGGGCAAGTCCACCCGGCTGGGCCCCCACAGCCCACCGTGGAGGGCACTGGCTAGAGTCACGGATGCCACTGGCAAAGCCACAGACGCTCTCCCCCAGGCAGACAATACACAACACTTCAAACTTCACGCACACAGCCACTGGGCGAGACGAACTTGGACGTGTGCTTTACTTAGGAGACGGGTGTGCTGACTCCAGGCAGGTGGGGGAGGAAGGCCACACCGTCTTGAAGGGAGTGGGAGAGCTGTCTGGGGTGCTGGCTCGGAGGATGGCAGCAGTTCGGCGGCCAGCAAATGGGGAGGGAGCATCAGCGAAGGGGACACTGTGGGAAAGCCATGCAGAGCTTCAGGACAGAGGAAGAGGGCACCCGAGCTACCTGGTCTGGCTGCCCGGCGGGCCCACCAGTCGCTTGGTCCACACCCACTGCGGGCATCTGAGCTTTGCCTGAACCTCTCCTGGGATGGAGAGAGCATTTCCTCCCAAGGCAGGCTTTCCACTCCGACCTGTGTTGGGGACAGTGTGTCCAGACACTGGGCTGAAATGTGTCTCCACAGCTCGCACTAATTCTTAACTTTCTGAGCCACAGATGCCGTCAGGAATTTGGCACAATCTACGGGCACTCCTCCCCAGAAAACGGATGGTGTACACAACACACATCACATAAATGATGGTGGCCAAGGCGAACTTGGATGTGTCCCTTGGGCACTGGGCCTGTAGGACTTGGACCAAATCCATCCTTCCTCCGCTGGGACAGTGTTTCACAACAAGGCCCGCGGAGACCATGTCTTCTTGTGGCCGTGTCCCTCCCTTATTTATCAGACACCACCAACCTGGGTCTGGTGCCTGAGGTCAGCAGGGAGCCCCAACCTCACGTAGTATCCCCTCGAGATGGACTCCAGCTCTGTCACCCCCAGGTGACATCTCTGCCTCTGTCCATCTCTACTCACCAGTGCCCTGCTCCTACCTGGATGACATGGCCCAGTGCCAACCCAAGAAATAACACCACGCACTGCCATCTTCCTAAAGGTTGTTTTATTGTAAAACCATAAATACAACACTGACATGAAATCATTTAAGCAACTGATCCTCTCTAACCATTAAAAGGATGTCTTTTTACCTTGGCATCAACCAACCAGGAAATAATGTTGCGGGAATTCGGGGTGTAGGGGGGCGCTGATTTCTGGGCGGGGGCTTTTGGCGTAAGGAACCAAGTGGAACCTTCCTCATCTCTCTGGGAATGTCCCACTTTTGGACAAGAACAGACAGGTAAAAACAGCAACGTTTAAACAGCTCAGTTTTAAATTTTATTACTTTGTAAAAATCTTTTTTTTTTTTTTTTCCTGTTCCTTTCCTCCATTTGACATCAGTAAAAGTTTTAAACACCAGAAAACTGATTTGGCCGTAAATGGAGAAACGGTACCGAAACGAAATGAAACCAAAAATCCAAAGGACAAACAGAAAAGCCTAAATAAACCCTCAAGGTTGGTCTCGGGGGTTTACGTATCACAAGAACTGTCAACTCAACCCCCATGCAATGTGACTCCTTGGAGAACTGTTGGGTCCACACCAACGACACAGGAGACCGCAAACAACGTCTTTTGTTAATTAACACAGCAAGGGTGACACTAGGTAACTTTTTTTTTTAAATACAGTACATGGTACACAGGGTCCCAAGATAACCCTGCATAAACCCCTTGTGGAGACTTGAGCCAAAGCACTGGCTGTTTATAAAAATATTGTGTTGCTACAAAAGTATAAATTAATGCTACCGGTATTAAGAAATATTAAACACATAAAACTTATAAGGATTAAGAAAAATATTCATTAATACCTGTAGAAAACTCTGGCCTAAAAAAGATATTTTTTTTGTGTTTGTTTTTTTGTAAATTTTTTTTTTTTTGTATTTTTTTAAGATGACTTGAGTTTCTTGCACTCGAAGAGAGAGACACAGTCAGCTGTGCCTATGGTATTGCCTAGAACGTCTTAACTACTGAGAAAGGATGAGGGTGCACACGCATGGGTACTGAGTGGGGCCTGGGAGGGAGGGGCACCAAGGCTTTCTCAAGATTTACCTGATGTGAAAGACTCACCGACACAAAGTTACGGGGAAAAGAAAAAGGAAGGATCATCAGAAAACAACGGAAAATAATTTATGCTTTTTAAAAAATATCTCTGCTTCAGGTGGTTGTACAAAATGATTTCCTGATGCTCGGCATCTGAATGGCCCTGGACGCGCTGCCCGGTGGGTCTGGGAGCCTCCAGCCCCGCAGGTCCCTCTGTCTCCAGCCCCGTGCCAGTCCACGAGCTCGCTCACCGCTTTGGAACCCGGCCACCCTGGCTGGGTGGGAGGGAAGGGTCCCAGGCAGGGACCGGATGGCACCTGGGTTGTGGGAGGAGCCCCCCTTTCCGGCTGGCCTCAGACCCCACGGTCTCTTGCCAAGCTGGACTTCAGGAAGCGCCACAGGGATCCCAGGCCCCTGAGGTTGCGGACCAGGCTGGGCTGTGTGCCCCTTTAAAAGGAACTTTGGTTCGAAGAGTCAAGGTGCCCAGTGGGACGCACGGGTGGGGAGGGCCCCTATGGGTCCTGATGCTGACACCCAGCTACAAACTTAGCAAATCCTTCTCTGTACAGCAGTTGAACCTTTAAAGCAACGCCCGTGCTGGTGGAGGGGCATGAGTATAACAAACAGCAACCCAATGCCCTTCACCCTCATCAAAGCAGGAGCAGGTGCCTCTCTGCACAGAAACTACAGGGCCCCTCCAGGGAACGGCGGGGCTCCACTGACCACGATCCTTAAACGCAAAGGACAGAGGAAGAAAAACAACAACAACAGAATCCTCCAGAAAACCCTGAAAAGGGGAAACCCGGTGGGAAACAGAAAAGGGAAAACACTGTATCATTGGTTCACCATAACTGGCCTAGCAAACATTAGCCACAGTGAAGAGGGGGCAGGCCCCTTCCCAGTTCTCCCACTGGCCCGGCTGGATACAGGGGGGCCGAGACAGGAGCCCTCCACCCACTGTCTCCAGGGGACAGCCTGAGCCTTACTTAGCCTCTGGGTTTCATCTAAGCCAGCAGCCTTTCTAGAAGCCCTCCCTCAGGTTACGTCCCAGGGACAGAGGCGCTTTGGGACAGAGGCCGTGCTTTGGGTGCCTCCTCTTCCCATCTCTGCAAGCACATCCATCGTTATGGCAACATCCAGGTACTGTCCCCTTCTGGGCCATGACTCACAAGACCTCCCTTCTCCATCCGCATCCCAGGTTCATTCCAAACCTTTCTCGTGAACCTGTGGCCCCCAAGAACGCATGCTGCATCCCTGACAGCTTCACAGTGGAAAACACGCCTTGCACAGTTTTTCTCTGGTGTTTCTCCAAAGTGCAGGAGAGAAAAGGAGCAGACTGAAGGAGACGCTTGCCAGCCTACAGAGCTGGCGTCGAAAAAGTCCTTCCCAGAAATCTGGAGACGCAGAACTTCTCAACCGTGTCATCGGACTGTCCTCTCCTCACCAGGAAACCTCAGCGCCCTTTTCCCAGCCAAGAGCCAAACCCCGAACGCCAAGCATGAGGCTGTCAGGCAGGTTGGTGGCAAAGCGTCCTCGCCCGTGGACACAGCAGGTGGCTTTCTATGCCGTGAAGCCTGAGATGAAGTGTGGCCAGAAAGGCGCTTTGCCCAGTGGCCCCTCTGTTTCGTTTCCTGGTTTCTAACTACCATCTGGAGGGAGGCCTGGCTGGTGGACCTGGGCACAGGGAAAAAGAACCATGTCGGCACAAGGGCATCCACTCACAGCCACTGGGATGGCACCGCTGCTCTTGGTGGAGCCGAGACCCCCCCAGTTACTTCAAATCTGAGGGACCACCCACGAGGCTATGGTCCTTGGCTTGGGCTTTGGTGGTGAAGCCAGCTGAGCTCAGATGAGGGGGGAAAACCCTGCAGAGCGGAGGTGTGTTTTCTCCACCTCCCCTCTGGGGTCCGTGTATGTCAATGCAAGGGCCATTTTTATCCCGGGAATCACATGGTTCAGGCAAGTTGTGTCCAAGTCAGCAGGCAACCGCCTTGAGCTGTAAAGTCCTATAGTGGTCACAGAACTGGGAGGCAGAAGACAAAAACTTTCCGAAGGTCAATGCCAGGCTAGGGGCCGGGAGATGAACTGGAAGGGCCGACCTCAATCCTTTGGCTGAGCTAGAATTTGGATAGAGGGTGGATATTGCTGGATATGAGGGGCCAGTGGCTGGGCCTGTGAGATCTTTGGGTTTTATTAAGCTGTTCACTGCAACGGGCTCTGCACTATGGGAGCTGTCTGCATGAGAAAGCAGATGGAGGGGGCACCTTGGTACAGCGTTTCCTGTTGGCAACGAGTTTCTGAAGAACCAGAGGCTGCAAGAGAGAAATGACTACCTGCCACCTTGTTCCCGTATCTGGATGAGGCAGCCCCAGGAGACAGCTTTCCGAGACCTAGTGGCACTCACATCACATCTGCAGAGCACGCCAAGCCCTGAGGACTGAACTGAGGTGGAAAGGGGGAACAGGACAGGAGGTGACACATATGACTAGATAACTGGAATTTAGTCAAGACTTAAATTTTTCTGAAGAGAAGAACGCTGATACCAGGGCTTGGTCCTGATGACTTTGCAAGAAAAGTGAAATGCCTATTTGCTAACTGAGTGGCCCCATAACGAGGCAACACCAGCACAGCTCCGCTCTAAGAAGAGGAAGGATGGGCTCCAAGGCTTGGCTCCCACTGACCACACAGAACGGGTAGCTCCCATCCTCCGCATGTGGTTCAGAGCGCCAGGTCATGGACCCTTCCCCAGCAGCAAAGCAAAGCTTGGAGGCCTTTTGCTGTAGGCATCTGTCACCCATCAGCAACCCTGCAGCCACCTTCTGGAGTGCCCCCAAAAGTCTCATTGAAAAGTCTGCCGATGCTCCCATACACTCTAGGAAGCGACATGAGGTGACTGTCCAGTGCAGATGGAGGCTCTTCTGACGGTGTGACCCCAGTTGGAAGTGCCGTGGAGTTAATACCCAGAACTTCTCCGGGAGAGGAAATGGCGTGGTGGTTCCTGAGACCATGGCTTGCTGGAGTGAATGGGGAAACGGCCCACTTTGATGCCTTTCAGTGTGTCCAAGCCTCGGGAGGGTTAGTTCTCACGAGGCAAAGTGAGCAGGCTTGACACGTGGGACAGTGTTCTGGTCCGTGATCCTAAGCCTTCCCCAACTTTACTGCCACGGACCGGGGGGAGAGGGCCGTCGTACAGTGCTTTTTGTAGTCGAGGTATCTCACAGTTGAACAATGTTTTGTTACTAGGAAGGGATGGAGTGGACTTGGTCAACCCCCAAGATGGTAGAATGTGCCTTTGCAAGTGGGCCCCCACGATGGTGGGCATCCTCAGCCTTGGTGTAACTATCTCTATCCCACAGCTGTGGGCACTGGGGGGATACGGGACCACCAGCACTTCATTCACTGAGAGGTGGGGTGGGAGGCTGAGCACTGATCCTGACGGAACCACCTCTTCAGAGGGGAAAGGGTCACCCTGTTGGCATTTAGGCCGTGTGTGGAACCTAAACTGCTCACAGAGAAACAAAGCCTAAAAACACCATTCACAGCATCAAGTTGAATGTGGCCTCATGCCATTTCACCCTCAAAACATCCATCATTTGGCCCACAAGGCACCGTGCTCAACTACTGTCCTAGAAGGAGGGCTGAGGCTCGCGTGGGGACCCCCCAGGGCTGTGGGCAGCGGACCCGCCGGAATCCCCGGGGTCCTGGGGAGAGGAGGCCGTGGGTCTGAGGTGTGATGGACGTGAACATGGATCAACTCAGGAGTCCCTGCTGAGCTGGAAGGGTCAGTGACGTGGCGAGTAGTGTAATGCACTCTGGGTATAGAAATCAGATATTCGCAGTACCAGACACAGCGAGCCAGGAGGGCGGTCTTCTGCTTACATTCAGGAGAACTCCTAAGCCACATGCTTCCCTATGGCTTCCACCGAACCCCACGTCTGTGAAACCTGTGACTCCAACCTCACTCCTGGTCTCCAAACAGCACAGCCAAGTTCATGGTCTTGGCTGTTCGAATACAGGAAAACTGGACTGTACAGGGAAGCCTAATAAAAACCTTAGGATATTGAATATACCACTGAGATGAGCTAGTTTACAGTGTGACTTGAGGAACAAAAAGGGCAATCAAAAAACAAACCAAAAAAACCCCTCCAAAATATAAGTTACAGACATTCAGTGCCTCCTAGCAGAGCCTAAATCAAATTTGAAAAAAAAAAGTAAAAACTGCTAAAATGTTAGGAAAAAAATTATTAAGGAGTGGAGACAGTATCTATACTTCTTTGAAAAATGTCTTTTTTTTCTATCTTATATTAAAAAGCAAAAGGTCAGCTTTATATTCTTAAAGTCTCCTTTCCTGATTTGGGGAGATAGATAGGTGTGTTTCTAAGGCGGCTGCCCCATGACACCCAAGGGTATCACAAAGGCAGCAGCTCAGTGCCCTGAAGGTGAACAAGAACAAAGTCCAGTGCAGAAGCTGTCCATCTGATGCAGTTTGGAGAATCCATGGCAGGGCAGCCGGGGAGGGGTGGGGTGCAATAGGGTCAGGAAGGCTTGGGGAGGGGGACGGAGGGCAAGGGGGACCACAGAGTGAAGGACAGAGAGCGTCAAGTCACTTCAGATCTCAGCTGCCTGAACATTTTACATCAGTTTCCTACCAATCTGCGCACCTGAAAATGGAGTCTTTTAAAGCCCCCTTACTGAGAAAAGGAGGTGAAACATCTTCCCTCTTTCCCAAACACTCAGCTTTCCTGACATGCCCAGCTTAATGCACACACGCCCACGAGCAGGCGTGCATACATGCACCAGGGGAGTATGTGTGTGCATGCGTGTGCGACACTTCTGCGGCCACGCAGGTGAGCACAGAGCCGCCCACGCCCAAAGTGCGCACGCGTGATTGTGTACACACATGCACACACACACTGAAAAAAGCACTTAAGTTTCCAGGGGGCATTTATAATGAGGTCCACAGTGTTTAGAACTTAAATTCCTTTTTCTTTGTTTGCGACAGTGTTGTGTGTGTGTTTTTTTTTTTTTTTTCCTAACGTTCTCTTCTTTTTTCTTTGTTCTTTCTTTTCATCCGGAAGTCTTAAAGCATGTTGGATTTCAGAAACATGAGTTTGTTCATATCTTCTGGACTGAGCAGTCGCCTCCTTTTGATGAGAAGTGCTTGTTCACACATATTTACACACCCGCTCCTGGCCCCCACGGCCGGCACCGCGAGGAGCCAGAAGGCGAGCTTGGCGAGTTTTGTGTGCTTTTGGGTCACGCACGACCAGTACTGGAAGAGATCCGGGGTGGCCTGGAAGAGGGGTTCCTGCAGGTAATCGTACACTTCCTTCTTCCCGAGCCGGTCGTCCTCCTGGGCGGCGGGGTTCTCGCCGGGGGCGGAGCGGGGCTTCTTGGCGGCGGGCTCAAAGTCGGCCTCCTCGGTCCAGGACTCCTTGACCTCGTTGATGAGCTCGCACACCTTGCCGATGATCTCCTCGTGCTGGTAGGGCGGGACGGGCCGCAGCTTCTGCTGTGGGTCCAGGATCATGGCCACCTTGTGTGCCGGGTGCACCTTGAAGTTCTCCTTGAGCGCCTCCAGGAATAGGTGGCAGAGCTTGCTGACGGTGCCCGCGTCGTTGGCCTTGGCCGTGAACAGCTTCTCCAGCCTGACGTAGGTGGGCAGCACCAGCTGCAGGGTGGGCTGGCTCTCGTTGCTCAGCTCGATGACCGCCTGCTTCACCGGCGTCAGGATGGCGGCCAGGTTGCTGAGCAGGTGCTTGTTGAGGCTCTGGATGAGGTTCATCTTCTTGGCCCGGCTGTAGAACTCGCAGATCTGCTCGTAGCGCTCGTGTACCAGCAGCAGCGAGTCCGTGACCGAGTTCCAGCAGGGCGGCGGCGAGGTCTCCTCCAGCGAGCCGAAGGTCTCCTTGGCGAGGCCGGTAGAGCCCGCCAGGTCCTCGCACACGTTGAGCAGCTCGATGACCTCGTGCATGCTGCGGGCCTGCAGCGTCCGCTTGCTCAGCACGCTCTGCACCACTGAGTTCAAGGCACAGGCTGAGCAGCGAAGGCACATGCCGGCCTTGGAGAAGGCGGATGCGCTCACCCGGCAGTCTGTCACGTACACTGTCCTGATCTCCGACATCACGAACTCCGACAGCACATTCTGCACCCAGTGGTGCACCAGGTCGCCGCTGTCGCGAATGTCCGCGCCCTTCACGCCCAGCACATAGCTCTTGATGTGGTTGCCCTCTGCCTGGTAGGCCGTGAGGATGTAGCAGGAGTCGGGGCCGACGCTCTGCGAGTGGCAGGTGACGCCGATGCCCAGGCAGGCGTTGCTGCCCAAGGCGCACGTCACCTTCACCTTCACCTGGTTGTACATGCGCGGCAGGTGCTTCAGCGCCAGCGTGTTGAAGTTGCCCAGGATCTCGGTGACTGAGAAGGCCCCGTAGCGGGCGCCGCTGTCCACCAGCGTCTGGGCCAGCTTCAGGAACTCCTTCCCGCTCACCACGCTCAGCGCGCCCAAGTCGGCACACATGACCCGCAGCAGCCGCTCTGCGATGTTCTGCCGCTCCTTCTCGGGGATCATGCTGTTAGGTGTCAAACCACTGGTCGTGGCTGGCAGGGGACACAAAGAGAGGTGTGATTAACCCTGCCAGTCAAGGCTCCTTGGTCTGGCAGTGGCCTAATACTCAAGCATCTAGTATTAGGAATTATGAACAGATTTCATCTTCCACACAAACTGATGGTCTTGGCAGTCTTTAACATGTGACAGTCTCACAGGAATAAAGTTCTGTGATTGATTAGTAATGCCTGCCATTAGCATGGGAATCGACTGTAGTGATATGTGTGCAAATACTTGTTGCATGTCATTCACCTTGACCTCTGAAGCCAACCAGTCTAACCTCTTCCTCAATATAGAAATGGCCTCTAACACAGGAGTCGCTAGTGAATAAGGTACATGAGGCCACAGTGTCAGGAAAAAGCAGACAAGAGAAATCGTGGAGAGTGGATTTGGATTCTAATTCTGATTCTGTCACTAATTTGTGTTCTCTGACCACAAACAGATCACCTCTCCCCAGGCCGCCTCTGTCCATCCCACGAGGTCAGAATTCCCACCAATGAGGTCTCAGGCGTGAAAGTGCTTTGGAAACCATGATGCGTGGTCTTGCACCACCATGGGAGACACACAGGGGTGGGGATGTGGGAGCAGAGGGGAACAAGCTGGGGTTGTGGGGGGAGGCCTCTGGAGGTGGGTGTAGTAGACTTCCACCAGCCCCCGGGTCCGCCCAGGAAAGACCTACTGTTGTTGGCACTGTTCCTCTGGGCCTGGGGCTTCCACTTCTCCTCCATGACAGCAGGGGGCGATCGGGACTGGTTGGAGGCCATGTTGTTCTCGTTGTCCGCTGCGGGCACAAAGGGGACAGTGTGTTTCCCTGAAGTGCAAGAGGCCTGCCGGCTCACCAGGCGAGGAGAACTAGAGCATGCGGGTGGAGGCAAGACTAGCCTCTGGGACTCAGGCCTGGGTTCAAATCCGGGTTCCTAAGACAACTATCTGAGGCTTTCGCTCGGAAGAATGAAGATAATCACACAACTGCTAGAAGGACTAACAAGAGATAATACAGGAAAAGAGCTGGGTACAGTGCTCAGCATGGAGTAAGCACTCAGGGAATGGGAACCGCTGTGTCCCGAGTCTGGCTGGGAGGCCCCCCCAACACCCCCGAGCACAAAGTTCTAGCTCTGAGACCTGGAACGGGGTGACCATTACACTCCAAGAGGCCCAAAGCATCTCACACTCTTGCTTCTTTAAAGTGTGCCTTTTCGTATTTTTAGTATATTTTAAACTTAAATGAACACAACAAAACCAAAGCCCTATATGACATAAAGTATACAATTCTCAACCCCCTCATTACATGTAGGAAGTGAAAACCAAAGTCTAGATACAGGAAAGCATTTGCCCAGGAAAACACAGAAAACCAGCAGCAGAGCTGGGACGGACATCCCAGGTCCCCCGGTTCCTAGTTGCCTCCTCCCTGCATTTCCCTAATTTTTGTTAACGTGTGCATATGCAGCCGTATTCAGTTTTACGTAATGGGCAGGTGCCATACTCTATGCACGGTTACTCCTTGACATTTCTGTAAGATCATATCTGAGTGGGAAATGGTCTGAGTTACATGCTTGTCATCACAAATGGCCACACAATCTTTTATCACACAATATTCCACAAATTGCTTGACTACACTCCAAGCCCTAAGTTTCTGGGCTGTGCCGTTTACAATATTACTATTCTGCTACGAACCTACTTGCCTAATATTCTAATATTGTTTCTCTGTGCTCTTTGGCTGTTGTTGTGGGTGTATTTCCTTGAGACATCATCTTACAGGTAGAATTCACAGCCTGAGGATATGAATGGGTCAGTGGCCTCTGTTCAGGGTTGCCAGACACCTTTCTTCCATTCTTCTCAGTTAAAGGCATCAGGCCTTAGAGGTCAAGGCCACACTATTCATACCTAGAGAAGGGGCTTCCCCGACTTCTACCTATTCAGCCAGCCCTGCAATACTAGTCAAGAGACTCTGGGATGTGCACTCAAGCAATATTTTACAGCCACTAGAAAGGTGGTCATGTAGACTGGAGCAACATGGGAAAATGCATAAGATAATGAAAAGCAAGCTCTAATCGTAATGCCATATGTATTTTTTATAGATACGTATTTTAGACTCACAAGTCAAATAACGAACAAATCTATGCATCAAAAACAGATGGGGAGGGGACTTTCACTTCTGCCCTCCAGATGCAAACAACTGCTAATCATGATGATATGACTGCTTTCATACAGGCAACCCAGGGTGTGATCCCAGAAAAAGAAACAAATGCGGTGAGCTCTCTGACTGTGCAACTTACTGCCTGGAAGCAGTTTCCAAGCTGCTGCGTAGGACGAGGGAACTGAACAGAGCCCAGCGGTCCCCTTGAAGAGACAGAGATTAAAGTTCAGGCAGGCCCAAGACAGCTAGAATTTACAGGGAAAAGTACCAAAGAGGAGGGAGTTACAAAAAGAGAGAGCTCTGGAGATTTCAATGGGGTTCCCTGGAGCCTTTGCTGTAGCTAATCTGCCTATGCATAGGGTCAAATTCCACAGGACTAGGGAAAG